TACAGAGTTTGCATCATTTTATTTTTGTTACTAAAAATAAAAAAACAATCAAACCCAATTAAAATTAATATGCACATGTATGAAAGTACACACTTAATAATCAGCTCTCTTAAGATCAGGAAGACAGTTTCTGCTGGATAGTTGAGTTAATATTAAAGTAAGACAAGAATCACAAGACAAGCCAGTAATGTTAACAAGCTGGCAGAAAAAGTATTTTGTATACAAAACAAACACAAAACAAATAAATTTATCTAGCAAGTATTCAACTTCCAGTCTTTAGTACTGGAAACATTTGACATCTGTTTGCAACTACATGTATATTCATATCAAACTATATTGCTATCTTCTGTATTAGAGTTTTATCATCGCTAATACCAAGTGTACATCTACAAAGGACAATTATGCCAGTGACACATGTACATGTACCAGCAACTAAAAGCAACATGTATACTAGACAGTGAAAAGAGTTATGGAAACAAATTTAAAAAGCACTTGCTTGCACAGAGCAGACAAATACTGTTTAGGTAGAGCTATGAGCGAATGATGTTTGGTGAGCATGAAAGGTCAAAAAAATTCAGATTTGATAGTAGAGCACACTTTGTTCAAGATACATGTAGATGACACGATAGTTTATTAGTGTCTGTTGTCTTGTTATTTCTTGTTTGTCCAAAGACCTGCATCAGTCACCTTCATACCACAGGTCTTGTTCAGGATCCAGTCGTTTCCCTCTCTCTTCTCAGTTGATACATGTACCTATAGCTCTCTTCTCTCCTTCAAGTATTCCTCTATCAGTAGTTGTCTGTCTTCTTGATGGAGGTCTGTCCCCTGCTATGTGTCCTTCCAATGATGATCTCATTCCATACTTGATCTTAAGGTTGGGACTACTGTCAGTTCTTCACTGACCTCAATGAAGTGTGTCCTTTCATTTGACTGGAACTGATATGTACTCATTAATGAGTGTGCCCACGTGACAGTTAATAGGACAAATATACAATGTACATGTACATGTATAGTATGTACTTACACTAATAGTACATGTACATGGTACATGAAATTGATAGACGGTTCATGTACTTATCCAAATTATGCATGTACATTAAAATATTCAAAGTAGAACTGTATGCATTAGAGTAATGGTAACAATAGATGTGACGGCCATATAGTATCCTTCATATTTTAATAACTGACATTAATATAATTCAAAAATGTGACAAGACACTGTAACACAAGTCAGGTGAGTGGTCACAAAGACAAGATGAACCATGAAATGTTCTACATTCATTAACTTAATAAATAAATCATTGAATGATTGAAGAATGCATGTAGAATGATGTACATGTATCATTAATATAAAAGCTCTACATAATACTGAACTATTGACTGTACACATATTAATTATACAAGTCATTATGCTGTATTGAAATGGGATTCAATTATGATTGTGACAAGGTGTTATCAAAACAACTTACATGTACATGTACATGTACATGTATTCTCATTAGCAGCTAAAACATAAACAGAGAATTATTCACAGTTTAGTTTGTACATGTATACTCATGAGTAAAGGCTTGTTCAATTTAGGCTATTATTATCAGGTCCTGCTCAGCATCTATCACTTTTTATTCTCCAGTTTATCATACGTACATGTACATGTAGACCAGGAATAGTCTCACAATACATGTACTTAACTGATTCTATGGAAATTAAGTTAAATGTGTCATTATTATGAGCAACAACCTACCAATAAGACACATGCATGTACATGTAATGGGTATGACATAGTTTTGTACATGTACATGTTTTTGAGAAATGAAACATGTACAAAGTTTACCAATACATACAAGTACATACCAGTACACATACCAAGTGTACTGTGTACATCAGTGTGGCTCACATCAGCTGTGAGGGACTGTACTGTACATGCATAAGAGTACATAAGAGGAACAATAGTAACCTAATAGTGGGATACAACTACCATGCATTAATATACACATTATACACTATAAGCTATTGCTACATAACTGATACACAATTTAATTCATAGAAGAAGCTAATAGTGAATGTACATGCTGTAACTGTATCAACAATACAAAAGGTTAGGTTTCTAACAAAGGAGAGGGATCAAGCATCATAAGACACCAAAATGACACTACTAATGTTTTACAGTCATTGGTTAAACAATGATACTAACATGTGACATCACATACAATTACAATGAAGGAGCAAGTACTGACCATCATGCCACACCCTCTACATCTTACATCATACATCAATAGGGAAGGAATGGACAACAGATAATTATGCAACACATTTTACTAGAAAGAATGTAAAACATTGAGGGCTCCGCCTCCAGACTGCACCTCCAAGTCACGCCCAGACGTACGTTCAAGTTCTTGTAAGTAAGGGCTTCGCCCAATTATTTAAATTTACTTTACATATGTTAAGGGAGGAAGCAGTAGCTGATGACTCAAGCTGTTCCATTAAATTTACTAACAATACAGTACTACATACAGTATAATAACATCAGTTCAATAAACTAATAAATACATTACCTGAGTGTACTCTCAGTAGGGTAGCAATATCAGAACGACGGTATTGTTCAGCATGATCAAGAGCAGTCCAACCAACCTATACAAGGTAAACATTGATTAACATGATAGTACAATGTTATCACAATCAAACTAAAAACCAACTTTAATTGTTGGTCTGTCTTCAATACTCCATAGTATTAAGTATGATAGAGACAGTGGAGGTACATTTAGTGTACAAGTATACATTTTACTGATATAAATAATTACATGTACAATACTACTAGTCTATATGTATTAGTTAAAGCACTGTTGAGAGTAGGTTACGGAAATTATTGCACGAGGGGCGGTCGAGAGGAAAATGTAGCACGAGGCGCAGCTGAGTGCTACATTTTCATCGAGACCATCCCGAGTGCAATAATTTCTGTAATCTACAAATCAACAGTGCTTTGATTGGTTTGTAGTGGTGCGTGGGCGGATCAAATGAAATTTCAAAAGTCGTGCAGGTTGCCAGCGCAAGACGATCAGATCTCATTCATCACTATTATTATTGTTACATGTCTAGTGTATGTAGCTGAGGCTGTGATTTGCCTCTATCAAAGCTTGTGGTTAACAGGAAAGCCCATACATATTATACTGTACAGTACTACATATTCCACACAGTGCTACATTTTCCTACCATGCGATTATTGGAAGTTGTAGCACTGGCGGCACCTTTGATCCGCCCATGCACCATACTACAAGTACATGTACAGTACTGCTCAGCTATAAGTTTTCTTTTACACTAGTGATCTCCAGCATTACCTGTGTTCCATACTGGTGCAATGACTACACTAGTGCACCACAAAACGAGATAAGTACATGATCAATGTACATGATAAATACACTATACAGGTGCTACCTTCACTAGTGCAGCTTGGATGCATAGACAAGTTGCACCCGTGTAGTGTACATGATATTTGCACTGTTGCAGTATCAATAAAATGTTTTTGGTTATACCCATAAACTCAGTTACTATACATGTACATGTAGATTGAGAAACCTTCATGACTGGGATAAAAATTTTAAGGTGATTTAATTTTGATGTTTCATCAATGCACGTAATATTAATTTAAGTTGATGTCAATACAGACACTGACCCCAAGGGACCATAGTGTCCTAGTGGGAGGTGTCTGTAAATCAGATACTGCCCCAGTAGGTAAGTGATATAATTACAATTTGAGTGGGTGGATCACATTATATATTCATGCACAGTATAACTACATTCTAAGTATGTCCTCCATACCAAAGAAAATGTCAATGCCCACTGGCCTCTTGTAAGTCTATCTGACATTATTATACTATTATACATGTAACATTATAAAGTATTACCATGTAGAAATGTAATTGTTCTGAAAAGTTAAATTTTGAAAAACGCTACACAAAGCAAATGTATCATTTTAAATAGTTAACAATTTACAAAATTTTTTTCGATACTTTATTCAAAGTTATTGAGAATTTCTAATTTTTTTGGCTTTCAAAATTTCAAAAATAAAAAATCAAAAGGTCATTGCCATCAAAAATTCAAAATTTTTCTATACTCAAAATTTTTGAGAATTGGCACCCAAAAATAAATTCCAAAATTTCATTTTTAAAAAATATTTCATGCTCAATTTTTAATATTACATTTTAAAAAGTTCAGGCAACAAAAGTTTCTCGCTTTACTAAAATAAAATATTATTGAAGTAAAAATAATTATTTTAATTAAAAATGCTTTTTCCATAAAGTGATACAGTAGAGTACATTAAGTTATACATGTACATGTACACACACTATATGAGATATACAGCACCTGCGGTTACTTTGATCCACCCACTCAAAAGGATATACATGTACAATCACTATTGGAGTATAATTAATGATAATACTTACAATATCAGAGGCAGTGACATCTGCTCCTTTTTCAAGGAGCATTGTCACTACCTGTGTGTGACCATTCCTAGCTGCATACATGAGAGGAGTCTGTCCAAGCTATAAAAAGAAGACAGGATAATAAAGACACTAACACTACAAAGTCAAGTGTCATATCATGTTGTGTACTGTAGTAGTCTAATATAATAATAATGTTAATACTCATTATAATGTGTTTTACACAAAATGAACATTTATTAATTTTTACACAGAAACACAAAAGTTTCAGTCACACTAGAGGTCAGGTCATCAAAGCATGCATGTAGAGAAGTATGGGCCACTCACAAAAGGATTATATTCATGAAATTCTGTCTTCTCTCTCATTTGAGGAAGTTTTTATTTTTTTAAATAACCCTGCGACATTTTTTATATGACTACTTCTTAATGGCTTTTAATTATTAATAAAAACTAGGGCAATTAATAAAAACACAGTGAATTTAATATTTTCACAAAATCATGAAAGTTTAACACTGCAAATATTATTTTTTACCCATATTGTAAGCTACTTTATGGTAAAGATTCACACTAGCAACATAACATCAAATTTGTAATAAAATGTGTGGCCAATGTATTGTAATGTAATGTATTGTACACATGTATTGTTCAATTTCTACATTAATAAAATAAATAAAACACACTCTAAACTAAAAGTAATTATACACAAATATCAAAAGATCATACTACTTGTACATGTATTATGTACATGT